CTGTCGTCCTGTCTCGATGGCTGAACCTGATTCCACTGGAGGTTTCTTCCTGTTAAACGGGAGTTTTTTCTTCCCACTGTTGACAGTTGGATGCTAACAGGGTCATCTGATTGTTGTTGATGCTTTCTGATACTCAGATTTTTTCCTACAATATTAAAATGCAAAGCAAGGGGGTAAGTAGATGCCATTTAACTGAGATTAAATCATCTGCTGCCCGCAGTAGCTTCCTTTAAATCTTATATCATTTTTAAATGGAGCTGTGTGCAGATTAAATACTCGTGTATTGAACTAGTTCAGGAGTAGGTTTGTAGGACTGGAGAGACTATTATAGAGTTATTAGTTATGTTTAAACAACCTTTATAAAGTCAACATCGTCCACCAGGAAGAAAAAAAACATGTTCCTGTTTTTTAGCTGTGATGACATCACACTGGTCTTCACTGAAAGACCAGCCGCCTTTAAAAGAAAAAAAAGCAAATATCCAACACCTTAAGAACCACAAACTACATGCCAGGCAGCTGCGGTGAGGTGTGGTTATCAGCAGACGTTGAATCTCAAAAGCTTTCCACATCAAACCGGAACTTTCTGCACAGTCGTTTAAAGAAAGCAAGAAAAAGACGACCCTATGATGCGTTTGACACGTCTCAGAATTTATTTCTGTCGGGCACGCTTTTGTTCCTTTTCTTCCTTTGCTGTCACGTGTAAACAGGCGAGCGCGACACAGATTTGAAAGCTTTTGTCACACTTGAGATGATGACAGATAAATGGCTTGGAGCCTAAATGTAAAGGTGGCGCGTAAACAGGGAGCCGAGTATAGCTGGGCGTGCGTTTTCACTCTCTTCCCTCTTGAAACTGCTCGTTTACCTCCGTTTGTCAGATGTGGCTGGTGGTGCAGCTACGACTGCTGTGCGATCCTGGATGTGTGGAGGAAGTGTTGTGACAGAAACTGCAGGCCTCTCCTGTAGTCCACTTCCCCTCTCACACCTCGTTGCTGCATCTTGTGAAACCCTCTAAACTTTGTACATGCTACCAGTTCCTGCAGCTGCCTGCAGCTCGGGCCGTTAGCCCCCCTCGAGTGCACCGCTCCTCATTATCCTCCCTTTAAATTCAAGCTCATCTGCCTTTCCTGCTTCTTACTCTGTCTGTTATATTTAAAGTTTCTACCTGTGCCTCAAATTGAAATCGCACAGCACTGCTTTAAGCTCGAGTCTGTGAGAAAGAGTCCCTGAAAAAGAGGAAACATCACTCTGCTGCTGTGAAGGAGATGAATTCCCCTGAAGAGATCTTATCTCATCTCTTCTGATGCCAAAACTCACTTTAAAGCACAAAAAAAATCCTCCTTTGGCTTTTAGAAAAGGAGAGAAGTGAGTGAAAACATACAAAGTATCACAATTCGCCCTTTCAGCCGAGAAAACTGCAGCAAATAGGTGACTGAAATGCACAAAATGTTACAGCTGTGAGAGCAGATGCAGGTGTACTGTACCATTGTTGCCGCGGGCCTCTCTCCTCCTCAGCCGTCCACTGTCCAGAGAGATGGTGTGGGGGGGGGTGTTTTTTTTGCGCGTGTTGTAAAAAATCCACAGGTTGACCTTAGATCGCTGCCATCGCACAACCAGGACAGCCGACAGCAACCAGCACCCTACAAGACATCCAGTACAGCATTCAAAAACCTACTTCCTCATACTCCCACCGGCAGTGTGTGTGAAACAAGAACTGCTCTAACACACACCGATGCACATTAACTCACCGCACGAAGCTCGGCCGCTTACTTCTCCATTCTGCGCTCTGTCGCGCTCGGAGTCGTCAGACGGGAGGATGAAGCAACGACGGCCAGCTCCACGGCACGATTAGTCAGTCCAGTTCGCCCGCCGCGCAGCAGGCGAGCGTCGACGGCAAGCGACGCTCATCCGCAGAAAGGGGATAGTTATCTTAAATCAGTTGCCAAATGATGGTGTTTCAGCCGCGTGTTAGCGGCTCCACCCAGGCTGTGGTCGCTTCATGTAGCGGCTTCTCATGGTGTTTGTCAGAGAGGCTGCTGCCTCCAACGCCCATAATAACAGACGGGTTCATTCAGAGTCGACTTTGTAGTGTGAGTGGAGGTGTAAGTTGCTGGTTTTCCTGTGTTTTACGTCAGCTGGATCAAGTCTTTAAAGCTCCTGCAAGATGCGCGTGCCAGCGCAGCGTCAGGTGTCATTCACGGGCGGGTTCGTGAATCTTTCAGATGTGGGGTTTCTCTGTGATTGCACCTCTGATTCTTTCTACTCCTTTTTTCTCTACGTCTCTTTCTAGATCGGTCTTGAACACGTGTCGTTTAAAGTCACGTTTTTCTTAGTTTGTATTTAGTTTTGTGTCTTTGTGGTTGGAACGTCACTGGTGTGTTTGAGGTCGTCTCATGAGCCTCCTTTTAATTACTTCTACTTTCACTCAGTCTCTTTTCAGGTGTTGCACATAATATACAGCGATGTGTTCGATGTGTTTTGCATGCGGCCATGTCTGCTGATAACACGGGACCGCAGAGACAAATGCAGGCCTGCATTTAGGCCTGTGGTGCGTGCTCAGCTGCTCGAGCTGTGACCTAAACCAGCGGCCTCGATTCCTTTTAAATTTGTTCTAGATCCTCGTGCGGGTGTAAATTTCAGTCAATGCTTCTAAAGCACAGAGGAAGAAACTTTCTCTGACTAAATGTTACTTCACGGTCTCGCCTCGGTGCCTGTGTTTCTCATGCTCGCTGTGTATGAACCAGCGTGGGACCGTCAGCCAGAGGAGCTGAGAACAGCTGGAACAGCTGGAATCTTTAAACATCAGCCCAGCGTTTGAGTCTGACGATTCCATCTGTTTACTAATTGTTGTCCTATGATCTGCCTATAGACAATTATTGGTGCATTTATTTGTATCTAGCCTTTCTTGGCTTGTAGGTTCTCTCTGTAGCTACACTGATGTTCATAAAATCTGTTACAGAGGTTTGACTGGTTAATCTCGTCCAACAGCAGATGGGTTTTGTTAAACAGCAGTTCGGTTCTCGAGGCCTCGATCCATCCATTCGCTTATCCTTTTCAGGGTCGCAGGGCCCCTGGAGCCTATCCCAACTGTCTTTGGGGCGAGAGGCGGGGTACACCCCGGACAGGTCGCAGGGCTAACACATAGAAACAACCGTTCGCTCTCACATTCACACTTGTGGGCAATTTAGAGTTTCCAATTAACCTAACCGCACTAACTGGGTGTCTTTGGACTGTGGGAGGAAGCCAGAGTACGCAGACACGGGGAGAACATGCAAACTCCACAGACCTTCTTGCTGTGAGGCAACAGTACTAACCACTGTGCCACCGCCTCTATCCATA